CATGGTGTGGTAAGCTGTTTACCGTGGTGTGGTAAGTTGTTTACCATGGTGTGGTAAGCTGTTTACCGTGGTGTGGTAAGCTGTTTATCATGGTGTGGTAAGCTGTTTACCATGGTGTGGTAAGTTTTTATATGTCACTGGAACAAGCAGCTTCCCCAGATCATCAGCGAATGCCAAACCTGCTCTCACCCGACCGCACGCCGATGCAGGTGCTGACCGCATCTTTTCACTCACTGGTGTCAATAAAACTAAAACAGGAAACAGTCTGAACCTAGATGGCACCTCGTCATCCATTATGACAGTCAAAGTGGGTGACATTAATCCTGATGGTCACAAGGGGGAGCCACCAATGAGCTTCATTAGAGCAGCTAAAAGTGCAGTGACCAAACACAACAAGGGGGGGTGCTAACTGACACTTATACACTGAAATGTGCTTAATCACACAGCACTTAATGTACAAAGGACCAGCGTTCAAAGACAAAGTGATGTGCAATGTTGGTAAATAAAATTAAGATGTAGCTCCTTACCATTTTATGTTTTTACCTAATGCCCCCCCGAACTCCAAATCTCACTCCAACAAATTCCTCAAAGCTGGCAGCCCTGACAGTGTGTTTAATATTTTACCAGAAACTGCTACTTTCTCCTGATTTACTGCTAATGTATCATACATTAATGATATTTAAACTTACCTGTGCATACAGCTATGATGGTGATGGTGCTTCCTATTGTCTGAGTCAGAAGTCTAATTCTCCATGACAGACCTGTAAAAATAGTTATTTATCCTAAAACACATCAGCTGCATCACAGGTCACGTCAGTGAGCCCTAATTATTTTGAAATATTTAGATGTGTTACCCCCCCCCCCCCCCCCCCCCTTGCAGTGACAGTGTGAGGGCAGTGGGGGCCAGTGGACGTTTCATTATGCCAATTATCACAGCTGAGGAGGTGTGGATGGTTTAAAAGGAGCTGCGTGGCTCCTCTGTTCTCTCTCACTTTGTGTTTGTAACTCTGTGCACAACAGGCGCTCCTTTAGACATAAATGATTGTTTCTTGTTTCTTTATCTGTATCTTGTATAAACTTTAATCCAAATATTGTATTTCAGATGTCTGATGCATCACAACACGGACCCTTGACATTATGCTCATACTGTCAAAAACAAACATATATTTGAACAGTGCCGTGTTAGAACCTGATACCAAGAACAACTGGGCTGCAGGAGAACCAGCAATCATATGAAAACACCTCAGGAAAAAATGTACTATACATTCATTTATTATAACAGTTAATAGCTTATTTTAATTTATTTATTTTCCAAACTGTCACCTTCTTTTCACAGTATATATTAGAAACAGAATGAAGCATATCAGAATAAGTAAACATACCTGGATATAATCGTTTCGGATCCATATTAAACAACATCAGGATATTCAGCAGAGTGAGGACAATACAAGAAACAGCCTCTTCTGTGGATCCTGAGAAACACCAGTAACACAAGATAACACTCAGGGAACGTTTGGCAGGATTTAATTGTTCTGCAGATTTGATCACAGTTTTCCTGTCACAACTTGGTCTTGCTTTGCTGAACTTCCCAGTGGACCTTTCATTAATGGTGACATGACTGACTGCTTCCATTTGAACTTCTATAATTATCCACCAGGTGGCGCTTCTTCTGCTGTTTTGAATATTATGTTTATTTGATTAAGTGTGTTTATTGCTCTCTTTATGCTTTCAGGTAATCAAGAAACACAGATACTCATTCTACGTAAGCCATAACTGCACAAACTCAAATAAAATATTTTTACTGGCAACATAAATAATCCTTTGGTGGATACATACCAAAATTTAAGCAGTTACATTAAGTGTTAAATGATTTGAAGATGTTTATCAATCTTAAAGACAAATCAAAACAAATAACCAATTAAAATATCTCATCACATTTATATTAACTCCAGCAGTGTACCCGAGGTAAATCTGGTCTTATTTTGTTACCCTATTAACTAGTTTAGATAATTCATTGTTATTCACACATACAAACGTTCTTCAGCCAACTAAACTTCATCAATCCATTTAATTTACTACTGCTGCTCTGCTGTCCATAAAAGATTTTTAAATCATAAAACTCACATGACAGAAATAATCGAGATCAATCTGCTTTAAAGCATTCTTTAAATGAATCAACATACAAGTATAAACCATATTTAAAGGGCTCACCTTCAGTTACACCCCACAGGATGAATGCTGAGGAAACCATGACTGATGGAACTGTGACAAGTGACCAGTGACTCAATAGAGCCTGTCTGCCTTCACCTACAGACAGAAAGTAGGACCAAATGTAACCACCTGCTCTTTAACATTAAATGATGGTTCATGCAAAGTTTAATTATCTACAGCCATCCTCAGATGATCATTTTCCTGCATCCTAAGCTACAGTCTCCACAGACTCAGCTCCTGAAATATTTTAGTGTTCTTTTAATGAGGACATCAGCTTTGGTTCATTGTTTTGGTTTGCTGGGGTTTACAGCGATAAAACTACTTCATATTCACACATATGTGTTTGGTACCAGAGGCAGAGGATCAAAGCCTGTTAATTACATCACAGTTAAGACCTGCAATGGACAGGCACCCATGTAGATACAGTCCTGCCTGATGCCCCATGTCTGCTGAGATGCCCTCTGCAGGATAAGTGGCTTCAAACATGCAATGACTGATGTCATCAGAATTACGGGAAATGAAAGAGCAGATACTTCACAGTAATTCACATCAGGTTTGACCTGTGCTTTACAATAGTTAGACTAATACTGAATGTTTCAAAATTACTTACCTTCCTTTATATAATGCCAGACAGATAAAGCACCAGTAAGTAGGACTACAGGTGTGACAGTGATGCACAGCATCAGAATCAGCCAATGCAGGGGTGAGTAACCTAAAAAAATAAGAAATATGTTACAGAATTTATTTTTCCAAACAAGCTTTACACACTAGACTATAATCAACATGTCTGACCCAACAATTACTCTACAAAACTGGCGCACAAATGTATTATATGCGCATGATTCCTAATTGTTAACACATTATTATTAAGTGAAAATAAAACCATTGATTATACTGCAATGCTCTAATAAAATACATCTCATCTACAGCTGAAAATCACTGTAAAGTGGAAACCTGAAGCAAATACACAATAATTAATTTCATGTATAAAACTGACTAAACCCAGTATGACTATGGGACGTGTATGAAGATCATTCTACAGCAGAATTAATGATCCTCAGCAGAATGAACATGAGATTTAATCACACAAAACTATGTGGAGATGCAGCTTAAAGCCAGTCATTCTAGTGACTCGCCCCAGTGTTACGTTAAGCTGACTTTTAACATCATCCCAGTAACTAGGGCTATATTCATGGCGAGAGTATATGGATAATTAAAACAGATCAAGCAACCAAAATGATAAAAACTTCATAAGTAATTATAAAATGTTACAAACAGTCAAAACAATGTAAATATGATGCTTACAATTACCTTTCGGTTAAAAATGTAAAAAGTCTCTGGCTTGACTTTACTAAAAACCTCTTTTAAAGAGTCAGTAAAGTGGTAACCAAGCCTGAGGGAGTTAAAAAAGGACAAAACAATAAAGGTGTTTAACAGCTAAAGGAGTTTAACATGTAGGACATACAGGTGGATCTTCACCTGTAAGTAAAAACATGAGAGTCGGCCTGGTTTGCCCTATGTGACACCTTGTGTATGTGACACCTTGTGTAGGTGACACCTTGTGTAGGTGACACCTTGTGTAGGTGACCTGGTGACTCACCCACTGCTGCTATCCTGGCTGTTGTACTATTAGAATCAGTATCTGAGTGGACTTCACACCTGAACTCTCCTTTGTCTTCCAACCTGACTTTGCTCAGTTTCATTGAGAAGTTTCCTTTCGGAATTTCCTCAGCGAGGAATTCAGCTCTTCCAGAGTATCTGTCATGCTGAGAATCTGGTTTGTTCTCTCCATCAGTGAACAGAAGCACCATGATGTCACCATCTGTCTTTCTCCATTCCACCTGAAGCTCTGTCACATTAACATGGGTGTCCACAGAGCAGCTGAGAGTCACATCTTCTCCAGCATGTGCAGAGACAGGCTCATCTGCACCCGTCACCACCAGCCGCTCTGGAACAAGAACAGGAAGAGTCACACAACCTGGCAACCCGACATTTGTGTGTTTTTCCCTCCTGTTTAGGGACGACACTCAGATGCTTTGGGCTGTTTCCATTTTAACATTTAATTTATAACTTTTAAAAATTTGCCATTACAAACCTGAAAGATTTTTGTGAGTTCTGTTTGAAAATTATAGGTAAGGAACAACTCCAAAAGTAATTATACTATGAATGAACTCCAAAAAAAAGTAATGATAATACTTAAGCTATAAAACAGAAAGGCTCACTTGCCTACTTCCTGTATTTCCACCCGTGTTTCACGTTGCTCCTGCTCTGTATAAACCACACACTCATAAACTCCTGCATCTGCAGTCCTCACACCGTCAAGCAGCAGAGAGAAGTTGCCTTTGGGGATTTCCTGAGAGAAGAAGTGGGCTCTGTCCCTGTAGGCGTCCCCCTGTGAATCAGGTCTGCTCTGACCATCCTGGAATAGGTGCACGATGGTGTCTGAATCAGTCCTTCTCCAGTCCACCTGCAGCTCCTCCAAAGGCAGGGGTCTGTCCACAAAGCAGGGCAGCAGTACAACTCCTCCCAGCCGGGCTGTTAGAGGACCAGCAGAGCCGTGTAGCAGGAAACCTACCACAGGAATAGCAGACATAAAATTACTGTATGCCTCAAAGCATTACATAATAAGCAGAAATAATCAAATACAAATCAATACCTGAGTATTTGGTAAGCAAATATTTCTATATCAGTTTGTACACCCAAAACAAACCCATTTCAATTTCTTAAACATTATTATACAAATCACCAGACATAAAATGTACGTCTTGTTTTTAAATGATACATACCATCAGAGTGAATGATGAACTTTGACAAGATTAATATAATAGTAAGACTTTTGATCATTTTCATCTTTTGCTTGCATATTCCTTTTTATCATAGCCATGGAACAATTTTTACGAGACAGGCAAATTTCACCCCATATTAAAACGAATATACATATATAGGTTTTGATTAAAGTAGCTCAATCTTTATACAAAGCATCGTCTTTCTGAACTACATTCACTTTCACTTGGTGTTGAGACGGAAGAGCTGAGCGATACCAATGCAAGGCTTATACCTGAAGTCCGACCAAAACTCAGTAACCACGCCCCTTTGTCATAACCGCCCCCAGCCGTTATTGTTGCGACCTGAGCTGTTGAGACACAGTATTGCGACACTCGCTGATCTCGTCGACACGGGATCACGCCTTCGATAGCTCCAAACAAACCCCGCGCTATCAAGTTCTCCTATTAAAATATTAAGTCATCTGTATTTTTAAACTGCCTTTACATGTACTTCATATATCTTAATGTCAGTTTGGTATGTGGAGCAACAACCTAATTCGATTATCAGATTTTTTGAAGGGAAAGATTTCCTTCATGTTATCATATATTACGTAACGCAAGATTCTGGAATAATTGGATTAGATTTTTTCTGTGTAAATCGACCTCCCTTCACTTACCTGAGGATTTCTAATAGCCTATTAACTGTCACGTGTGTTCAGGGCCAGCCTGGACGCTGTGCTGCACTATAGGAGCCTAGAGCGTCGTAGTTTTTTTGCATAAGCATCCTTGATTGTACAGACAGACTTGCAGTCAGACCTGAAAAACTGGAGTGCTTTGTGTTTCGGCTCTCTGATGGTGATTGTAAGGTTCCCTTTACGACATATATATATATATATATATATATATATATATTCAATTCAATTCAATTCTTTATTGTCATGTGTACAAGTACAAGTACCGTGTACAATGAAATGCTTACTTGCATGAGCTCCTACAGACAGTGAACATAGACAGCAAGACAGACAACAGGATGACATGAGATGACATGAATGATAAAGTGAATTATAAATAAGTAGAATAAATAAGACCAAGTAAAATAAATAAGACCAAGAGACAGAGAGAAGTATATGTATGGGTAGCAGTGGAGGTGACACAGGTTACTGATTGTTCATGAGTCTGATTGCAGTTGGGTAGAAACTGTTCCTAAACCTGGAGGTACGCGTCCGAATGGACTTCAGTCGCTTCCCAGATGGTAGGAGGGTGAAAAGTGACAGTGCAGGGTGGCTGGGGTCTTGCCTGATACGGTTCACTTTCCTGAGACAGC